TGCTGCTGCTGCTGCTGCTGCTCAGCTCACCAGTGGACCCTTAAAAAGGCGCAGCAACCACGAGCTCGCATGAAATGTCGGAGACCCTACCTCCGTGTGCACGCACCAAGACGCCGTTTCGAGTCACCCTACCATCGCACATTCCATCGCCTTTGCGACTCAGCCAAGACGCACAGGCGTATAAAGTAGACACGCAAGGACTCGCTTCTTGAGCTTGAGTCACCCACACATGATGGACATGGACGGACCAACGCTCGCGGAAGAGTACTTCGACTTGACCTCGGTAGAGGTGGCCGCCAACCACCTGCAGCCTGTCGGGTCGGTGGGCAGGAAGGACAGCGTGCAGGCAGCCCAGACTTCGCATCGTCTGGATATCATGTACGCTTGGCTCGTAGGTGATGACCCATGGAGCAACAACGGCCGTGTATATTCTGGCGGAAACCTATCTCTAATCGGAGGCCGTGTGATGGACCTCGGTTGCGGTCAGGGTGACCTCACTGGCGCCATGGCCGCTGTCCTCGCCAAGAACCCGGATCTATCCAAAATCAAGAACTCCGAGCCACCAAGCATTGTCGGAGTGGACCCTGCCTCGCCCGACTATGGCTCCCCTTACACACTTCACCAGGCCCAGTCTCACCTCGCTCAAAACGAGACCCTTAAGGCCCATCTTTCCTTCATCTTGGGCAAGACCGCGCACGAGGTGCTCAAATCGCAGCATTTCGACACTGTGACGCTCGCGCACAGCATCTGGTACTTTCCATCCGTCAAGATGATCCGTGATACCTTCCAGGCGATACGCGAGGCGGGCGTCAAGAATCTCTTGCTCGCCGAGTGGGCCATGTCCGTATCCCACACCGAAGCCGTTCCCCACCTGCTCGCTGTGCTCTTGCAAGCTCAATCGCCTCTACAGCAAGGGAACGTTCGCACGCCGATCAGCCCCACCCAAATTGTAGCATTAGCAGCCGAGGCTGGCTGGAAGGTAGACAATTACGTCATCTTCACCCCTCGAGAAGAGCTTCAGGACGGCGGGTGGGAGCTTGGCATGGCCCGCGACGCTGTCAAGCTTTCCAACGACTCCATGCCGGAGGCGCTTGATCAGTCCGGCCAGAGACTGCTGCACTCGATCCAGGCGTCGAGCTCGGCGCTCGAAGAGGCCGTCCGCCGAAATGGCAAGGGCAGATGCATGGACGTCTGGACCGCCGTGCTCTCGCCAGCCTAGACCAAAGTTCACTCACGTCGCTATCATAGCAACCATACCCACACACGCTCTCATCTTCGGCACACACCATCAATGCATTAATACAACCTGCAGCTTCATTTGCGAATACCTATCGGCCCACGCCTCGCTAGGCAAGCTCGATGCGCACCGTCATGAACTGAAACGCGCGAAGATGCAGCACCGCCGTGAGCCGCCCATCGCTCGACAGTGCCCCTGCCTCGTTAAGGGCGCGCGTCTCGTCCACGTGGTCCTGCTCCAGGAGATCAGAGATGCTTACACGTTTTACTGGCAGGTCGCACTCGAGCGTAACGCTGCTGCGCGTGCCAAAAGCCTCGTAGAGACGGCAAATGATGCTCTTCCCCTCTTTGCCACCGTCCAGTCGTGGTTCAGCCATCTTGACTGTATCCAACACCACCTGGCTGTACCGAGCCTTCGAGTCCTGCACCACTCTGACTGGACATTCCCACGCACTAGTATCGCATCCTTCACGCAAGAGGCCGGGCAGGACTGGCTTTGCGTTGTACGCTCGGGCGACTGCCACCACATCGCCATCCATGAGGCTGCCACGGTGCGCGTAGAGGGCAAAATCAACCACGTGGCTTCCGCGATCCATCTGCGAGTCCGGATACGCCCCAGCCTTGAGCAGCGACAGGCGCATAAGGCCGCCCTCGACAGAGTAGCCGTACTTGGTCTGCGTCAGTATCGCCAGTCCGTAGTTCGGCTCGGACAGGTCCGCGAATCGATGGCCGCACACCTCAAACTTGGCTGCCTCCCACGAGGTGTTGCGCGTCGTCGGTCGTGCTACGTGTCCGAACTGCATCTCGAAGTTCGCTGTATCGGCGCGGATGGTGGTGGGAATCTCGAAGCGCAAGAAGCGATGCGACTCGTGCCAGTCGATCGACATCCGGATCTGCACTGCTGTCCGCGCTTGCTCTCCATTGGCAAGCTGCGGGATGAGCGGAATCGCATCCATAAAGATGCTTACTCTGGCGCGACTCGCTTCTCCGATCGCGATCGTCGCGCCAAGGCTCGCTCGACACGGTCCAGCCTCTTCGATTTGCACGCTTTCGAAAGCGAGCTGCTCCACCGTATCAAGCGAGTACATCTCCACCTCCCAGTTGTCAAACTCGGGCGGATAGTCTTCGCTGATCGAGAGACCGGCCGACTGACCAAATGCCACCATCTCGCGCCGTTCCGACTTGTCGTAGATGGAAGAGATGCGGCCATTCTGGATGCACAAGCGCATGTCGTCCGATTCCAGCACGAAAGCGCCGCCTTCTTGACGTGCGGATACCGATCCTTGCTGCGACTGAGGTACAGCGTGCCGAAGGACGCCACAAGCGTTGGTGTCTTGGAGCAGAAGCAGGGCGTTTCCGTTTTGCAGCTTTTGCAGCACACACGGCTTGCTTTGCAGCTTGCCGTAGGCGGCCGCATCCAGCTCGACCACCTCCTGCCGCGGCATTCCGAGCGTATTCGGTGCGAAGAGAACTGGATCCGCGGAGGCAGCACGACCAGGCTGGTGGGCATGGAGAACCGCGCTAGCCTCCGCCTGGAGCTGGTCCATCTCCACCGTCAAACGGGCGTAGGTATTTTTCATGTCATCGTACACCTTGCGAATGGAGCTGCCCGGAAGGCAGTCGTGGAATTGACCGAGCATGAACGGCTCCCACACTTGCAAAAGCCGCTCGTGGGGATAGCTGTACCCAGCCTCGCGGACCGCAGCCAGGGTGCAGAGCCATTCGATGTCGTGCAGCCGCAGCTCGACTAGACGGTTCCACTTCTTCATCTCCGCCTGGGAAGTATAGACGCCACGATGGAACTCGAGGTACACTTCACCGCTCCATGTCGCCAGACGGTCGCCATTGCGAGTGGTCTCGAGGACATGCTCGAAGAAGTCCTTTGCACTGCGTCCAAGTGTGACTTTGGGAACTTCTGTGTAGCCGTTGTTGTGCAGCGCTCGTGTCCTGCGCAGTCTCTCGATGTGTTCAGGGTTGGCACCACCGCCGCCGTCGCCGAAGCCGAAGAGGTGCAGGCAGCTGGGCTGGACCCCGAGATCTGGGTTGCGCCGGGTCGCTTTGATCATATCGTTGATTCCGCACCGACTGTTGTAGTTGGGGATGGAGCTCTGCGAAAAGACGATCTGCGTGCCGTCCAGGCCGGTCCACATCATGGTGCAGTGCGGGAAGGTGTTGGTGCGGTTCCAGCAGAGCTTCTGCGTGAAAAAGTAGTCGCATCCTGCCTGTCGTGCCAGCTGCGGGATCTGGCTGTTGTAGCCAAACGAGTCGGGCAGGAAGAAGACGTTGCTCGTGGTGCCAAAGCGCGACTGTAGGTAGCGCTGACCGTACAAGAGCTGGCGAGCAAACGACTCGCCGCTCGGCATGTTGGCATCGCATTCGACCCACAGGCCACCGATAGGCTGAAAGCGACCCTCCTTGACTTTTGCGCGGATACGCTCAAAGAGCGAAGGATAGAGTGTCTCGATCCACTTAAATTGCTGCGGAGAGCTGGCGGTAAAGCGGTACTCGGGGTATCGCTCCATGAGAGCCAGCTGCGTCGTCCACGAACGTGCCACCTTTTGCTGCGCCGCCTCAAAGCTCCATAGCCAGACGCAGTCAATGTGGCAGTGCCCTAAGCTCCAAACCAAAGCCTTGTTGTCCTTGCTGGCTATCTCGGCATCACCAGCAAAGAGAGACGAGGCTGACGACGACCACGCTTCTCCGAACACTTCCTCGGCGAGCTGACGACAGCGAGCGATGCTGGACACGTCGGACCTGCGGAATGTGTTCATGATCTCGTTGGCGATGAAGAGCGCCTTGTTCTGCAGTACGCCGTCCTTGGGCAGCTCTTCAACGCACTGCTGGAGCGTGGTAAAGTCGTACATGAGCTGCCACGCCTCGAGCCGCTTGAGCACGAGATCGACCTTGGCGAGCTCAAAGTAGCGATGTGGATCTGGATCCGATCCGATGCCAAGGTCGTAGTACCTCGTGTCTTTCGCGTGGATGCCAAACATGCCATTCCCTGTGATCTCGACGTAGTAGACGGCACCCATGCGCGCTCTATCGCCTTTTGGCAACGGAAAGTCGTGGCGGCGATCAAATTCCTGCCCGCCTGTGAAACCTTGCAGAGGGTTGCCATGCTGGTCAAAGATGAGAGCCTCGCAGCTCGCGTCGAACTCAAGCTCGACTCCATCGAGGTCGGCCCACTCAGCAGGCACAGTTAGAGTGAGCTTGAGCCAGTGGTTGGACCAGCTGGGGCCGAACTTGTCGCCGATTCGACATGGTTGGAAGGTTTGCGCGCTCGCCTCGGCGAAATTTGGACGCGTGCCATTTGACGGGCTCCAGCTTTGTATTTGGACATGTGCTGCTGCATTGGTGCGCCCGGCGTAGAGGAGGGACGAGACATTGTCCGAGGCGAATTGGCCGCCGATGAATTCATGGATTCGCTTCTCTTGGATACTGCGGATAGGCAGTGGGCGAACAGGGCGGGTGGCCTGCTCCGCGAGGAGTGGATACGGTGCTTGATGCGATGTTGGACCACACATGGCAGCGGTAGAGCGGGGAGCAGATAGCAGCTCGTGTCGAAGTTCGTTGAGGTGCGACGCGCTTGTCTACAAAGACGATGGTAGCTCTGAGAATCGACCGACTTTGGCCAACAGGCCGAGACTTGCCTGGTGCGAGCACCGAGATTTCTTCTTTCCCTCCCCGCAAGGGTTTAAGCAAGGGCCCCTTGAGCACACACGTGAAGCAAAGACGATAGTGTTTGAGAATCTAAATGTGTGTGTCTTGCGTCGCCGCTTCTGCCGAGTTGAGGCGAGAAGCGTGGTCGCCCACTGTGACTGCGGTCCGTGGACGCCGTACGTTGTCGGCTCTGCGGACCGATCTTCAAGCAAGCCGATCTCGAGATTGTCAGTCTTAAGGCAGCAAAAGGATGCGAGGTTACCTTGCTGGAGGTAACGGGCCTTCACGGTGAGCTACACCTGGAATACGGTGCTGTAGCGGCGACCTTGGACTGGAATGATCAGGTTGAAGCCGGGCTTCTAGACGGGGTGTGAATGCGGTGAGAGGCCGAGGACGGGCCGAGGACCAGGGGGAAGGAGGACGTGGGGTGCGAAAGTGCGTGCTTGCGAGGCAAAGGAGGCTTCATTCGAAAGACTCACAACAGCTGGAGAGAAGGCTGAGTGCGGAGGCAGGGGGTAAGTAAGCGAGGCAAGTGGCGACGCATTCGCTTGCACAGGTGGCCTGGTGGGGTTCTTGGCAGCGACTGTCGGGAGTACGTCCGTGGGGATGCTTTCAGTGCACCCTGTCAGGCACGAGAAGACAGGGCGGCAAGGACAGGAGGGGGTACCAACTCCGATACCCCGCGTGTGGCTGAGCGCGGGCGACGATGGACCGCCGGGTAGCGACCGGTCAACTCGGTGATGAGGGCCGAGATTGACCAGCCGACTTGCGCGACCTCTGATGCAAAGCGCCAAGCAGCGCCAAGCGGCACGTGAAGGCTGAGGGCCCCCACGTCGAAGGGCATGGCGCGAGGTTGCAAGCGTGCCGACCGCGACCGCGTGGGTCTGCTGAATCTCAACAACCCCTCTGTCCCGCACCCGCCGCCGCCTCAGGTTGTGCGCTTCCCCCGCTTCCCTCCCGCATTGGCCGACGGCTGCCATCCCTGACAGACGCGGCAATTTTTAAAGAAGAATTTTTCTAAGACCGAGCAAGCCGACGGCCGCCGTGCTGTTTCTGACTTTGCGGGGCCCCTCGGCTTCGGCGATCTTGTCCTCCCCCACTCCCATGTGTGCCCACGCCGCGTTCTCATCTCGTGCCCCCCGGCCCGTCTTACATTGGAGTACCTTCAGTTGCTGCAACTCTCGTGCTCGGTTCGCGGCATGGACAGCGAGGCTTTGAGACAAGCAAGGCCGGCATAGGCCAACCCCGCACTCAGGAACGGGAACGTTTGCAGGCTGTCGGCTGGAGGTTAAGTCAAGGGTCTCGGGCCGCCGAGCTCGGCCCTGTGCTGTGTGACCTGACAAGCATGCAGAGGACCTGTCTCATGCGACCCCACTAGAGCCTTCTCACTCTCCACGAAGCGAGCTCGGTGCATCCGCGTGCTTATAAGCGCGGCAGATCTGGGCGGGTCCCGTCACACAACGTCCTCCTGTGTGATCACCACCACAATTTCATCAACCTTAACCATTGGTGAGACGCGTGATCTTGCCCAAGGACCCGCGCCCGCACCTGCACAGTCACCCGCACTTGCAGCAACGTCCGAACTCGCTCGAAAAATTTCATTTCAGTCCTCGGCATCGTCCCACCCTAGACCAAGATCCCTAACGTCGCAACCTCACTCCCGACCACCATGGAGAAGCTCGACAAGGTCACGACGCAGACTTCCATCGCCACGGACGATGTAAGTACGTTGGAGAAAGCCCCTGGGCACCATCACAAGCTCGGGGTGCCCGTTCTGCCAGACACGATCGTCGAAGAAGTCGACAGCGAAGTGCTCGAGTACACCGACCAGAGCATCACCATCACACCGGAGGAGAACAAACGACTGCTGCGCATCATCGACCGACGCATCCTCCCCGTCATCATGGTCACCTACTTCCTCCAGTCCCTCGACAAGGGCCTTGTCTCGCTCGCATCCATCATGGGCATCCAGAAAAAGTGGCACCTCGAGGGTCAGCAGTACTCGTGGCTCACCACCTGCGTATACCTCGCCATCATCTGCGCCGAATATCCTCAGAACCGTGCGCTTCAGGTTCTCCCCATCCACCGGTGGCTCGCCTTCTGCATCTTCGCTTGGGGCGCCGTCGTCGCGTCCTCCGCCGCCGTCACCAATTTTCACGGCGCCGTCATCGTCCGCGTCCTCCTCGGCTGCTTCGAATGCGTCTGCCAACCCTGCTTCATGCTCCTCACCGCCACTTGGTATCGCAGCTCCGAACAAGCCAGGACGATTAGCTTGTTCTATGCGGGTAATGGAATTCAAACTGTCGTGGGCGGGTTACTCGGATATGGCTTCTACCAGGTCAAGGGAGGAAAGCTGGAATCGTTCCAACTCATGTTCATGATCTTGGGATTGCTCACCGTGGTGTGGTCCGGAGTGGTGCTGTGGATGCTTCCGCAGTCTCCCATGAAGGCGCGTGGCATTTCGGAGGAGGACAAGGTCAAGATCGTCGAGCGCGTGCGCGAGAACCAGACGGGCGTGCAGAACAAGAAGCTCAAGTGGTCGCACATTCAAGAGGCGCTGCTTGACCCGCAGATTTGGGCCTTCTTCTTCATCCAAGTCTTGAACACGATTCCAGTGGGCGGTCTCGGCGCTTTCACCAACATCATCATCAAGAACAACCTCGGCTTTACGGTGCTTCAAACCGACCTGCTAGCGATCGCACAGGGTGCGATTCAGATAGCCGTACTCTTCTCGGCGGCGTACTTGTCCAAATGGACGAACCAGACGCTGCTGGTAGCGGTTGCATTTTCGATTCCGTCGCTCATTTCGGCGGTCGTCTTCCTTACGGTGCCGAACGACAAGGCACACGTGGGTGGGCTGATGACGGTCTTCCTCATGACCATCTGCTACAACGGTGTGTCACCTCTGGCGTTCAGTTTGCTCACTCGAAATGTGGGAGGTCAGACAAAGAGGACCGTCGCCATTGCCATCAACTTTATCGGCTGGGCGGCCGGTAATTCCGCAGGCCCGCAACTCTTTCGCTCAACTGACGCACCTCACTACCGCAAGGCTTTTGCCGGCCAGCTAGGATGCTATGTTGCGATCATTTTGCTCTTCCTTGCGCTTAGGGTCTATTACATGGCTCAGAACCGAAAGAGGAGAATCGCGGCAAACCTGCTCAAGGGCAGACAAGCAGATGCGGCCGACGAAATCGACCTCTCGCTCGCGTTTGACGACCTTACCGACAAGCAGAACCCCAACTTCCGCTACGTGTACTGAGGTCATAGCCTTGCCCGCACGTTGACTGATTCCGCTGTTCCCTCTCATCTTTGTATCAATTACTGCCGTGCCCAGCGTGATGAATCGCAGAACCTTTTGTCACCTTCAATGATCTGATTACCCCGCTTCTGTGAACGTGCACTGCACCCATGCCCCGCTCGAACTCAGCGGTCTGATTTGCGCGCCAATCGAAGGCCTCGGGTCCGCACGAGGGCGTGCGTCCCGCAGCGAACATGCAAGGCGTCGATTCGGCGACATTCGCGAGGTCGACGGCTCTCGATCCAATCTCGATCCCACGCGCTTACCCGTCAGCAGCTTCCCCGCAACTCAGTCTCACTTTGATCAGCCCTGTAGAGGCTCATTATGCGCCGCGCTCACTTGTCTCGCACCGATAACAGGCAGCATCTCTCCTCACGAGCATCTCAAGGAATGCAACAAGACAGCCGCAACGCGTGCCTGATAAACAAGGATGATTTTGTGCTTTTTGGCTAGGAGCTGGCCTGCTGTGCCGCCTGCTGCGCGTCCTGACTGGCCAGGAGCGTGTCCAAGGACGAGAGCAAGCTGTCGAGCTTGCCCTCGAGACCACCGACGACCTCTTCGGTCTGTTCAAGATTGGCGAGGAGGCTGAGGATCTCGTTGCGTTCCATCTGGGCGGTTGCGGGATCGGTGCCGTCGCTCGTGGGTATCTTCAAGGCATTGAGCGAGGCGAGAATCTCTTTGAGCTGCGCCGCCTCGTCCTGTGCCGGAACGGACGAGTCGCTCTCCGAGTCATCGTCGACCAGAACGTTGGAATGCGCAAGCCCACTAGTAGCCGCATCTGCTCCGGATGCAGATTGCGACGGCTGCGCAAGAACATCGTTCAGAAAGTCGAGGTCGGACTGCTGAGAGCCCAAGGCTCCTTGGCCATGCGGAGACTCTTGCGTTGGTGTCCTGTCGGCCGATGCGGCCGCCTCGGCTTGCAGATGAGCCAGATGCGGATTGGACAGCACAGCAGGCGACTCGGGTGCGGCTGGCTCGGGAAGGCCGTCGCCGTTCAGCACGGGTGGCTGCATCGACGCAGCCTGGATGGCCGCCCAATCAAGAGGCTCATCCGAGGACGAAGCTGGCGATATCGAACGACCCAGACCCGACGGTACCGAAGGAGTTGCCCTGCCCGGCGCGCTTGAGCCCGCGTAGGACGATGCCATGGCGGCTGCTACGGCACGCGCATTCGTCATGGTGGCTGCCGGATCGTTGGAGACATGCTTAATCCACGCGCCGATGGCGCCGAGGTATCCTTCGTGGCGCAGGAAGAAGGCGCGCTTGGTGCCCTTGCTCCAGAAGCGGATGGCGTACGAGAGCGTGCTGATGGTGGCCTGGTGGCCTCGAATGAAGCAGCCGCCAAAGTAGATGCGGTCGAGGTTGTACTTTTCCGCATTCATGTATGCGATCTGACCGATGTTGTTCGAGATGGCGTAGAGCAGAGACTTGCAGATGTCTTCGGATCGGAACTTTTTGCGGCGCTCTTCGGCGTTGCGAGGCGCCGACGAGCTGGGATCCTTGCGGAAGACTTTGCCAAAGGACGATGCGATGGTGGAGCTCTTGAGGCCGAGATGGTTGAGTCCGACGGAACCGTAGATGTCGCCGACAAGCATGTCGACGTTCGCATTGTCGCCCTGTTCGGAGAGCTCGAGCATCTCGTCGAAGCTGTCGGCTTCGGTGAGCAGCGAAAGGAGACCCCACAGGGTGCCTCCGCCTAGCGAGGTGCCCGAGACACGTTCGAACTTGCCAAAGTCGTCGACCTTGATGATGGAGACGCCGGAGCCGATGTTGACGAGGAGGCAGGGCAGCTTGGGCGACGGATGCGAGTCAAAGACGGGCGCGTAGAGAGGCGGGTTTGGCGAAGGTCTGGGCAAAGGATGCTGGAGGGGCACCGAGGAGCGCAGGGCTTGCGCATCTGCCCTTGCTTCCGGGTTCTGAGGTAGGGGCGAGTGGAGTGCTGCGACGAGCTCGTCCGAGTACCAGAAGACCTCGTCTGGAATGAGGGTGATGAAGTTGAGACCGGTGATGAGGCAGCCCATCTCGTCTTCCTTTTGGACCTCGATGCCGAGTTCTTGCTCAAAGAGGTCGTACATGAGGTGTGCGCCGCCGCCGGTGGCCATGAGCTTGACGCCCTTGCGCATGTCTTCTATCGAGACGCCATTGACGGATGCGGAGCGCTCGATGAGTTCGCGCAGGAAGCGGATGCAATTTTCGATGTCGTTGGTCTCGAACTTGATGAAGTTGAGACGGCCGCCGGGCAGGGCAGCGGGAAGGGATCTGCGTTTGAGAAGGGTGGAGTGGATGGCGGATGCAGAAGCGAGCTGCGGAGAGCCGAGGATGGCGGTGGGTGTGAGGGTTCCGGAAGCGATGGGGTGGTCGGCGTGTGCGGGAGGCGTACGGAAGCCGCTGTGTGCGCCGCCGTTGGAGGAGGCCTGCCGAGAGCGAAAGTTGCTGTTGCTCGTCTTTGGCGAGAGGGCGTTGGGCGTGGACGAGGACGCTGCGGAGTGTGGCAAGGGTGAGGAAAGGGCGACGGGCGAACCGGGGGTGGGCGAAGAGGGCGTGGAATCGGAAGAGCGTGAGCGGGTGAAGTAGACGACCTTGGCTAAGGAGCCGCCGACGTCGACGGCGATGTGGGAGACGGCCTCGATGTGGTTGGGCAGGTAGATGTCGCGGCTGTCTCTCTGATCGGGGCTCGACGCGCCGTCCTCCATGATTTTGGCTCCTCGCGTATCGACAAAGATCTCGACGGGAGGAGCCGGGAAGGCTTGGTGGCTGTTCATGGCTGCAGCGATGGTGGAACGAGCGGGCTGTCGCTGTGATTGGATCGTGAGCGCGCTTGAGCGGCGTGGTTGATGCGGTGCGGGTGCGGGTGCACCGCCGACTGATGCGTGACAGCCACGAGAAGGGTGCTGCACGGGCTTTCGGACGCGGGGCGAGCGAGCGAGCGTTCGTCGCGCGATGGTGCTGGTGTTGGTGCTGCAGTGATGGGGGTGGCGATGGAGATGGCCGTGGAGGAGGCCGGGCTGATGGTGGTTAGCCGGAAGCGTGGAGCACCGGCCAACGGAGATGCCCCGACCGGGACGGATGCGACTGCAGAGCAGCAACGTTGGCTGATTCAAAGTGGCCGTTTGCGGTGCGGTGCGCTGCTGCACACCGGCCACTCCCAATCAGATGCACCCGATTGCGATCTGCCAGGTCAAAACCCAATTTTGGGGGGAGAAATGCAGGTGCCTGGCTGGAAGGCGTTGGTCGGAATTGCCGGTTGTTGAGCAGCGCCGTGCGAAAGCTCGGTGTTGGGAGCCTCTCTCTGCTGGCTCAGTCACTCGACCTCCGCAAGACTGTGTGTTGGATCGCCGCAAATCTTTGCCTCCCCACACACAGAGCCAGACCCTCTCTTTCTCTCTCGCCGAGGCGGCCCCGGAGTTCATTGAGTTCATTGAATCTTGTTGCGGCCTGGCCCGCACGGACAGGCTTCTGACTGCACAGCACCAGCCCACCCGCTCGGATCAGCTGCTGAGCGCCAAGCGGAGATGCACGGCTCGGACCAGTGACGCCGGTGCTGCCAAGCCGCTCTCCGGAAGGAGTTGATCGCCGGGGCCTTCCTTCCTTGATGCTGGCGAAATTTTCAAAATGTTACACCGGCCCGCAAGCTGGGGTCTAAGTCTGCAGTCTCGTCCGCGTGTCTCGGCCCACCTCGCCTCGGCTCTATCTCCGACTGTCTGCAGTGCATCGAAGTCGCAAAGTCCACGGAAGAGGGGTGATATTGCAGATGATGCTATTGAGAAAACGAAATGTCCACACTCTACTTGGACGAGGCATCGGCCTGACCGCGCAGAATCCTCGCGATGAGCGAATTGTACGGGCTCGGATTGTCGAGATAGATGTGATGGCCGCTGTTGGGCACCACGAAGCAGTTGGTCTGGGCGTTGCCCTGTTTGCGCAGCCGCTTGACCGCCTCCTTGCCGCCGCGCACGTCCATCCAGTCGTGCTCGCCGTACAGGAAGCTCATCGGCATCTTGAGCCGCTCGATGCGCTCCACCATGGGTCGGCGCGCATACGCGCCCGGCGCCAAGATATGCGCAAGGCAGTACTCGCCCGAGCCTTTGCTCAGGAAGATGCTCTGGCAATACGCGTGCAGCGACCGCAGCTCGTCCTCCGGCAGCGCTCCGAATCGCCTCGATGTATAGCGCCCTGCCAGCATAGGTCCAAAGAACAGCGAGCTGCGCAAGATTCCGAATGGCGAGACGTTTTGCTCCCACAGGAAGCTGAACACCGAACGAACGCGCTTCGAGATGCGTGGCGGCTCGTGCGATCCCTTCTCCGGCTCGCTCGACTGCCCCGAGCGTGGCACTTTCGCCGAATCGACGCTTTGCGCCGTCTGCGAGCGTTCCAACGATCGCGGCGCAGAAGCCGCATCGCTGCCCTTGCCCTGGATCACGCCGCCGGCGCGGTTCTGCGCCGCCTTCTTGGCCATCTCGTTGGCCGTCTGCGTATCCTCGAGCTCTTGCCTCGCGTTCTGCGGCGCCACGTCTTCCTGCGGCTGACGCACCTCCTGCTCCACTGCCGATCCGTTCTTGGGACGGAAAGTGCTACCCGGCTCATCTTCGGGCGGCGCATTCGGAATTCCCACAGGACTGACGAGCACCAGACGCTCGACGCGCGAGGGGTAGCGCAGCGCATACGCTAACGACAGGTAGCCGCCCAGGCTGTGGCCGACAAGCACCATCTTTTCGAGGCCCATCTTGCGTCGCCAGTCTTCGAGGCTGCTGATGAAAAAGCTCTCGGCGGCCGCCACACGCGTGTCGGTGCTCTTGGTCTCGGACGACGGGATGTGGAAGGTGGGGCGCGACGACCGACCCATGCCGAGCCAGTCGACGACGTACAGACGCGAGTTGGGCACTTCCGCCATCGACTTGATGTTTTGGAAGAAGAAGGCGCTGCCAGCACCGTATCCGTGGGCGAGCACGATCTTGGTCTCGTTCTTGATCTGCTCCTCCTTGTCCTTGGAGTAGGGGATGCCGATTTCGAGCATATTGAGTTTGCGACCCGACGGCGGCGTGTACGGCTTGATGTGATCCTGAGACATGATCTGATGCGATTCAAGATTGTCGTTGAGCACCGGCTCGCCCAGCGAAGATGCCTCGGGTGCAGGCAGGCCTTCCGTCGACGAAGGAGCCACGGCAGGCGACGAGGTGAGCGAGGTGGGGCGCGAGGCAGGTCGCGTATCGCCAACGTTGGGTGCAGAGCCAATGTCGACGAGGCGGATGCAGCCGACCTTACCATCGGCCGCGGGGGTCAGCCCGATGGTCATCGTGGACGGCTCTTTGGATCTGTGGAACGGCCAGAATTTGTGCGTCGAGAACAGCGAGCTGGACGAGGAGTGCGCGGGGTCAGTTGACGAGGAAGACGTCTGACTCGAGCCGGCAGCCCGACGAGCCCATTCAAGTCCTTTGGCGAGGCCCTTCCCATCGCGCAGCTCCTCGTCTGCGCAGATGACATTGTTGACCGTGGCGCCTTCGAAGTAGCCGGTGGAGCGATACAGATGAAGCTCGGCTTGTGCGGCGTCCTCGACGGGGTTGGCTTTCCACCAAGCGGCGAATGACGTCTTGAAGCTCGACGGAATGGGGGGAGCGACATAGGCAGCGTCTGAGATGGGCGTTGCCAGCGCTGTGTCCGAAGCCGACATTGGCTTCACACCAGCATCGGCGTCGAGCGTGGCTCGGAGTGCAGGCGAGGCTGGCGCCGTTTGCGCTGAGAGAAGCGATGCCTGACGCTTCTGCTGTTCTGCGGACAGCTCGGGTGTGGCGGCGCCCGACGAAGCCGAGTCGGGAGTGCCGAATGCTGATGGATGCTGCGTCTGCATGGTGAATGCGACCTGACTGAGCGTGCGTGCTCGGAAGAGCCGAGGCGTTGGAAGAGAGACTGAGCGGCCAAGAGAGGAGACGGCGCCGGATGCTTTGAGCAGGCGAAGATTGTTGGGGCACCGACGAACGCAAGACCACGCCCGGGGCATGCGATAGAGTCGTACTGCGTGACCTCGAAGATGTCGGCCTCGATCGAATCCAGTTCCTGTTTAGAATCCGTGCGAGGGGCGGAAGAGTTCTACAAGGGCTTGCAGGGCGAGACAAGAGGTCTTGTTGCCCACGTCAGTCTATATACGACGTTGTACTCGAGGGAGCCGACACGGAAAGACAAAGGGAAGGGGTGGATGAGGGTCCGATAGGAGGATTGGTTTCGGAAGAACGTGTCACACCCGGCGCGAGCCAAGCAGCGATCCAGGGTCAAGGCCGGGTGCACTTTCCGGGCATTCACTGCCCTCGGCACCAACGCTTTGTCACAGCTGCGCCGACACAGACGCTACTCTTTACTCAGCACGGCGCCTGAGGATCTCGCAGCGTGCTGCAGCTTACTGCCGAACAGGTGGAGGTGGGCGGAGAGTTTTCAGGGTGGAGCATGCGGACGAGCATGCATTTCGTGGTTTTTTGGGCGGCGGCGGTGCGGCTGCGATGGGGTGGTGCCTGACGGCGTGTGGACGCGTCATGACTTGGGCCTTCAGCCCTGCCCCTTGGCACGTTGCCGTTGCCGCGCTTGTCAAATTCTCCTCCGCGGAGCGACTTCATGGCCTCCACCCAGCTGGCCGCCCTCTATCTGCCTTTGCTTCCGCACAGCATTCATCGCTCACGTTGGGTGCTCCCGCATACTTTCCCCCGACCACAAGTCGTGGCGGCAAAAGGCAAAAAAAAGAGAAGTGTGGAGACTGCATGAGTCGAACACGCGACC